ATGAATAGTCAGAAGGAAGGTTTATCCTGAAATACACATCTACGATGGTGTCTGTGACATGTCCCTTGCAGGTTGAACAGAACAACTAAGCAAGTGTGGATACCATGCGTATGAAAAAGGCAATCTGAGTAAACAAAATAACTCGAGAGGGATTAGATATGCCACAAGTAAAGTGTATGGATAAAACTAGGGCATTCGAGGCAACAAGCATACAATTTGCAGGTATACCAAGGGTGTTCTTGTGTGCTGGTCCTGTATAAAGGATTCCTAGTGCACAGGCGCCCGAATCGATGACGTCATGCCCACGCGGTCACGGCAGACACCTAGTATGAAGCAATGAAAGATTTAGCTATCGCACGATGGACAGCCCATCAAGTGCGAGCTAAGGAGATCCGACGACCCGACCCGACCCGAGATCCGACCCGGTATGTTTTCGACCATTATGAAATTGATCTAACAAGTATAAATAAGAAAAGGTAACCTGAATGCTTGATAAAAAAACAAAAGAAATCACGTTTGAGTAGAAAAATTGATTTTCTACAATAAAATATGATTTGCAACATTTGACTTCATGTTTAGTTTTCTTATTTCTAAATAGTTTTCATCCATTGGAGGGGGTGCAATCATTTTTAGTGAATGCAAATCTTTTTCAACCATATGAAACATATTTTTAATTATATGCAAATAACTTTTATATTAAAGACTTTTGCAAATAATTGAGAATCTCACACAGGTAAAGAAAAGTTATGAGAATCATGGCACCAAGTCCTTCTGACAAAAAAAAAAAAAAAAGAGAAGAAAGAAAGATTTTTCAAATAATGACTTTTCCCCCAATTTTCCCTGAAAAGAGGAATTGGGAGTTTTTTTTAATTTATGTTTTTAATGAGTTCTGATTTTGATCTCTATATTTTTAATGAGTTTTAGTTTTGGTTACTATATTTAATGGTATTAACAAAATTGACGTCACTATTGCAAAACTAAAATCAATGATTTGAAATTATAAGAATAAAAACCATTAGGATTAAGACAACGATTTGAAACTATAAGTATCAAAACTAAAATTTAATCAAAGTGTAAGGACTAATAACAATATTAACTCAAATAATAAACAAATTACTACAAATTTAAGAATCAAAAGAAATGTATACACATATGCTGGCCAAAAAAAAGAAGAAGAAGAAAGAAATATGTACGCATAAGTAATTCCTCCATATGAAAAGGAAAAGAATAAGAAAGAGAATGCACGCAATTCACAAAAGTCTCAAAAAGTTAAAGAATTCAAAATTCATAAAAAGAGAACAAATGAAATGTCAAAACTCAAATTAAAGCTTGCACTTTTAACAAATTTTTAATTAGACCAAGAGGTCTTATTAGGAATTGTTGAATGTTGTTAAAAGACTAAAATACCCTTTATAATTTAAAATAATATTATTCGGAAAACAAAAAAGTAAATCATGAAAACTTCACATTATATAGAACTTATTTATAAAAAAATTTCATATAAGAAAATTTGGAAATACTAAGGGCAAAAAATTGACAATACACAATATAATATTTTATGCTAACTCTAAAATATTGATAAGAAATTTATGGGAACAAGGATTTTTTTTTTCCTGGTAATGGGAACAAGAACCTTTTAATTACTTGATTCCAACACCATTAAAGTAATAATTTTTTTAGTTAAAAAATCAGTTTTGACCCAAAAAATAGTTAAAAAATAAGAATATTAATGTATTAGCTGATTTAAGCATCAAATTTGTTATTTCTTTCTTAGATGTTCGCATACTAATAATTAATATAAACTGTATTAGAAATCTAAATAATTTTTTCAGTGTTTCATGGAACGGATAGAATAATATGAGCTGCTTAATATAAATTTATATATATATATATAAAAAAGGGAAAACCATATTGGAGGTACCTATACTTTTTTTAATTTCAATTTGGTACCTATGTTTTTTGTTCTTAACTAAATCTTTATTTTTCCTCTATAACATCATTAATCCTTATGTAAAGACTACAAATATCAATAGAACAAAGTTATAAGAGCTAATGTTGCTAAAAAGATAAAATTAAATGTTTAATTAAAGGGAAAAAAACACATAGGTACCAAATTAAAAATTGAGAGAAAGTATAGGTACCTCCAATATGGTTTTCCCTATAAAAAATCATACATCTTAGTCTTTTAACAATATATAGAGCAAGAAAGAGTGAAGCTAGTGGATTATTTGATAGCATCTCAAGAAAAAAGAAGTTAGGTCTTAAATTGACTAGAGCAATTGTCAATTTACTAACTTAAAGCGGTATTTTAGTCTTTTAATAATATTAAAAAATCCCTAATAAGACCCTTGGCCTAAATAGAAATTTGTTAAAAGTGTAAGCCTTTATTTGAATTTTGATATTTCAACTTAATTAAATTGAAATACTTCCTCAAAGAAAACTTTTTAATTTAAAGAAACAGAGAATCCTATCATATATTCAATGTATATTCACACAGACGCACACGAACAAACACATCCAAAATTTGAAGTTGAGCATTTGTTCATCAATGATTTGTGTGCATTGTATATTTTTTTCACTCAAAGTTTGTTCATATATGATTCACCGAAAACGTGAGTCTTGATTTCAGTAATTGTATCACTTTCCACTCTTTCTTTTGTTTTTTACCTTTTTCTTTTTCCTTTTTTGATAAAGTTTTTTCCCTTTTTCTAATTTTCAGTTTCATCCATACTTTTACGGCCAGTTTTCTTTGGTGACCTTCCACCATCCAGAAGTTTAGAATTAAATCCATTTAAACAAAATAATGCATATTAAATGCATATTTGACTAGCGCATTATATTTTATAGAGTTCAGGAAATAAAATGTGTATTTATGACTCATAAATAGTATGGATAGATTCTTTGTATCTTTTCTAGAAGATTATATTTATTATATCTATTTTGAATTTCAACTCCAAGTGAATATTATTCTATTAATCCTGTTTAACAAATAATGCATAAAAGTAAATAAGATTGTTTTTAAGAAATACCAAATTTTTTTACTACTACATTTTTTAATAAAATCACCGTAATTTGGTATATAGTTTCACAAAATAAATGATCTTATTAGAAAGTAGATATGTCGAACAAAATAATAGAAAGTAGATCATGGTCAAATTTTTGTAATGATAGTTTAATTCATAATCTTTTTTACAAAATTAATTGTAATCTAATGCTTGCCACATTTATAAGAATGCACATTTCTGTGACATTTTTTTCAGAACATTAGCCAGATGTCCAGATCATAAGAAGAATAACGAATTAAGCAATAATAATGTAATAACATATTCATTGAACTGCTAAATTCTCTATTAAATTAACAAATCACTTATAGTAATGATTGCCATTCTAGCTAGTTTTTTTTTAGAATGATTTTATAACGTATTTTTAATGCTAAAATATGTTTGAGTTACAAAATGAATTTAAAAATAAACAAAATATATTTTAATCGCAAATAAAATAACCAAAAATTGAAAACTACACTAGAAAATCACGAGATTTTTTTTCAAAAAAAATTAATGAAAAAGAATGATAAGAAAAAAGAAGGTAATTATACCTTCAAAAACGGGCATTTTGTAGTTTGACATCTATGCACGCAATCCCTGATGCTGAGCCCAGTCTGACTAGGATCATGTAGTTAAAAACTTGGCTTATAAATAGTCTTCCATTGCTATAGTATTGCCATACGCCCAATACAATAGATAGAATAAATCACAGAAATTGATGGGCAGAGAGATAGAGGGTCTTAGCGTTGAAGTGAAGCGTCAATGAAATAAAGTGTTAGACAGAGGAGGACTCCTTAGTGACTTGTAGAGAAACAAAAGTTAGTAGAATTCGGGAACATTTTCCGGCATCTCTCTCTATCTAATTTGTGAGTTTATCTCCTCTGCTGGGTCTCGATTTTTATGTATGTTTGTTTGATTACTCGTTGATTTTTATCGAACTTTTTTGTATACCTGTTGTGATTTCTTTGTATTAGATATAAGGAGAAATAGAGGAAAGATATGTAGAACTGTTGGAAACGAAAATAATGTGTGATACTTTTCATGGATATTTTCTTGATGCTGGAAACCCCAAAATTCTATTATTTTGAAATTGATTTTATTTCATTGATATTTTTATGTTTTTGGTTTGAATCTCGATTCATTTCTTGGATGTGTTCCTTGGGCCAACTTAAGAGATCAGATTCCAGGAGCTCTCTTTTCTAATACTCAATCACTCAAATTTTCGCTCATTTGTCTTTTAAATTGTATGGTATAACATAGCGTCGGAACCATATTTTGAGGGATTATATTGAATGCATACAAATTTTTTTGCCAATTTCATTCAAACCAACCAGTAAAAAATTTTACATTCAAGATGCACTTTGTTCTAAATTGAATTGAAAATTTCCAATTAATAAAGACTGTTTGGAATTTCTTTTTCTTGATGTGAAAATATCTCCATTCATTCATTGGATGTGTTTTCTTGGGCCAACTTTTGAGAGGTCCCATTTTAGGAGCTCTCTTTTTTAGTACTTTATTACTCAAATTTTCACTCAATTCTGTTTTGAATTGTGTTGTATAACATGGCCTTTAAACCATATTTTGAGGCATTACGTTAAGTGCATACAAAGTTCTTCACCAATTCCAGTCAAACTAAGAGTCAAGTAAAAAATTTTACATTCAAAATACGTCCTGTTCTAAATTGAATTGAAATTTTCCAATTAATGAAGCAACCTTTTTTTATATTAATTGTGTGACGGGCTCGTGACATTTGTTTTATAATTGAGCATGAAATCAACAAAAGTTTGTGAGTATGACATATATAAGCAATGCTATTGATTTTATTCAAATGACTTATTTCAATTAATATAATTGAGTGTTTTTTTAAACTATATTAATGATTGCAACGCATTGTAGAGTCTTCTAATCATGTTTCAAAAGTATTACATTTTCAAGCTCACTTGATGTGAAAAACAGGTGTGCATTCATAATATTCATTCTATGATGGAGCATTCAAGAAACCAGCACAATGGGGAAGAGGAAGAACTAGTTTTGTTGAATGATTCAAGTTTGCTTTCCCACCAACTTGGGAGAGACCTTTCAATGAATTGTCTAATTCGATGCTCAAGATTTGATTATGCAACACTGGCCTTGTTGAATAAGGATTTTCATTCTCTTATTAAGAGTGGACTATTATATCGTCTAAGGAGAAAGGCAAATATTGTAGAGTATTGGGTTTACTACTCATGTAGCCACCTTGAATGGGAGGCCTTTGACCCAAATGGTGGCCGCTGGATGAAGTTGCCCAAGATGCCTTTAAATGAATTTTTTCAGAGTTCAGATAAGGAGTCATTGGCTGTTGGCACAGAGCTTCTTGTTTTTGGAAGGGATGTAATGTCTCCTATCATTTACAAGTACAACATTTTAACAAACATTTGGTCCTTGGGCATGTCAATGAATACACCTAGATGCCTATTTGCCTCTGCCAGCCACCATGAACTTGCTTTTATAGCCGGGGGTTGTGATCCAATGGGGAATATCTTAAGCTCAGCCGAGCTTTATAACTCAGAGACAGAAAAATTTGAAATTCTTCCAAGTATGAATAAAGCCAGGAAGTTGTGTTCTGGTTTTTTCATGGACGGGAAGTTTTATGTAATTGGTGGGATTGGTGATGGGGACATGATGCAACTTACTTGTGGAGAGGAGTTTAACCCAATCACTAAAACATGGAAGCCAATACCTGATATGTTGCCAAGGCGAATTGATGGAGTTGTGAATGTAACAGCCCCTCCTAACAAGGCACCTCCTTTAGTTGCTGTTGCAAACAACATATTATATGCTGCGGATTATGGAGAACAAGTGGTAAGAAGATATGAGAAAGAACAAAACTCATGGGTCATAGTAGGGGGACTACCTGAGCGAATGGCTACAGTAAATGGTTGGGGATTAGCCTTTAGGGCTTGTGGTGATAATCTGATTTTCATTGGTGGTGTAGGTGGAAGAATGGTTAAGATATATTCTTGCATCCCACAGCAAGGCGAAGCACTACAGTGGAACCTACTTGCCAGTAATGAATCAAGGAACTTTGTGTTTAATTGCACAGTGATGGGGTGTTAATGATCTTCAAGGGTATTAATATGTACTCTTTTCATTTCAAGTAGATGAAAGTCAGAACTTTTGCATGTCTTCATGTTGTTCCTTCTATTAACTGTTTCATTTCAATTAGGATCATTTGGGCATAATTTACTCAAATATTCTGTTGCAAAGAAATATGTGTTCGTGTTGGATGTTATTCTTGTATCTATAGAAGGGAAGATGGAGAATAGCTAAGAAGCTTGGGCAGATATAGTATGCATGCAACCATATTAATATGTTAAATGCCGCCTATAGCTATGCATTGATTCCTAGCCATAAATCTCTAACTTAATTTTAATTGATTAATTCTATAACAAGTATAGGGAACCACGCCCCAAAATATAGCTATTAGAGTTGGAGGATCCAAGACGTTAGAAGATCTTCTTTTTAAGGAAATCCAACTAATGCGGGACTCGTAACAAAACCGTTATCATTCTGTGATATGATATTTTGCTTCAAGGCATCCAAAACGTATCATGTCTTCTATCAGCTTAACTCTTTGGGTTTTCATATTTATGAACTCATATCATTGTGACTAAGTTGCTGTTCATAATAAAGCACGGGGTTTGATCGAGACATTCATGGATGATGATTACTGAATATTCAACAACAGTGAAACCTTTAACTATAAAAGGCGGCCAACAAACAAGAGTTCGAGATGAATACTTGTAAATGTGTCAGTTATCTCTTACACTTAGCGATAATTGGATTTAATTTTAGTATAAATAATTAATGCACTTGATCAGCATCAACTTGTACGCATTCTTCGAAATCAGGCAAGAAAAATCGTTCAAACGCAGATAGCAATACACACACACATGACTAAAAAAAGGGAAAATTATATTTGAATATATTTGCCATGCAAATTGATACAGATTTGCTATGGATTTGGGACACATCTAGGCCTTTGTGATGGACTTTGTATAGAATGGTCTGTCAAAAATTTTGTGGCTGCAAAAATGTTTTTGGCGGGTTGTTTGGAATGGAATTAAACTTTTCGATCGTGAAATCTGTCACATTATTATGATTAATTTTTGTCCATCACAACTAATTTAATGGCAATACATAAGCACTCGACTTGAGGATTTTAGAATAGAATAGATTATTGCAAAATTCAGTCATTTAGTAATATCTGAGCTAGTTTAACGAAAATTTCATTCCAGCAAGTTTTCAATGATTTTTTAATAGTGTTAGATTTTTGGGTTTGGATCCGCCCTTAATGGGCCGGATTATTTGACCGGGTATAAAGAGAATATATCAGTCAAATATCCAAGCGATATCATGATATGTTTGACTTGGTCAAACATCCTGAATCATATCCAATCGGTTACGATATAAATCTAATTAATTTATATTAAATTAATTAATTTATATTGTATAGATTAAATATATATTAAGTATATATATTTAGAATTAATTAAGATTGATTCTGGATTTGAATTCAAAATATCATGATATTATGAGATAAGGATATATTATATCTTATCTCAGATTTTATCTGATGGGCTCAGTGGATATTTTTATGCTACCCAAAATATCCCTGACAAAAGCTATAAATAGAGGCTTCCCCCCATCAGTTCAGATCACTCCAGTAGTAGAGCTTTCCTACTATCTCTCTCTCTCTCTTAATTTTCTTTCTTGCAAAAGTGGTGCTCTGCTGTGCACTTAAAAGCTCAGACTTTTATAGTCTAGCTTAAGCGTGAGCTAAGGAGATCCGACCGACCCGACCCGAGATCCGACCCGGTATGTTTTCGATCCATTCTCCTATTTTTCTAACATTGGCATCAGAGCCGAGATGTTCTTGAGGCTCTCAATATATGTGTGCATATATATATTACACGCTCATTTTTTTTTCCGCTGCACCGTGAATATGCCGTATGCCATTCGAACTGAATATGCTTGTGTTTTAAACTCAAATACACACTCCGTTTATATAAGTGAAGTTCGAAAACATTACTTGTTACTCCGTAAGATTTAAAAACGTGATCGAAGTCTATTTTCTGGAGCTTCCAACGTCGGCCGTTCGAACCTTGTTTTTGGGTCTTTAAAATTGATGTTTTTTAAAGAAAATAAACCCATAGAGTTGTAGAGCACGAAAATACGAGTCCATAGACACCTAAAATGCATAAAACGGAGCTCGGAGGAGGAAGATACGGCGGTTCGAAAATGGCGGGTCGCGACGGACCCGCCGGAGCTCCAGCCGGATCTGGGGCGACCCGGCTGGAGGTCAGGGACGACCTGACCAGCCCAAAACGGCGTCGTTTTGGGCTGGCCAGGACGCAGCGTTTCACTTTAAGTGAAACGCTGCGTTTCGGGTCCGTGGACCCGGATCTCCCTGGAAGTCGGGTCGGTAGACCGACCCGACCGACCTTTTAAAAAAAAAATAAAAATAATAAATTTTTTTTTTGAAATTTTTTTTGAAAAAAAAAAATATTTTTTTCTGAAATTTTTTTTGGACGCGCCATGTGGGCGCGTGGGGTCCACCTAGGGACCCTTTGGTCATAAAAAGCACATATATAGACTCCTTGAGACGTGAGGAATCAAATAGGACAGGTCACGTGACGGCGAGAGGCCGGAAAGGCGGCGCGTGTATGACACGCGCCGGTCCGAGAGTGGGCGATCCTAGCTCCTTTAAAAAAAAAAAAAAAAATTTTGCTTGTTGGGGCGCGTGAGGGCGCGTGAGGGACTATTTTGAGCCCTGTTTGACCTGAAATATTTCTAAAATCATGAGCTATGAATTAATATATTATGTGCTGATTTTTTTATGACTTTTTGGGTATGAAAAATAGCAAATAAATGTTTTGAATATTTATTTTTATATTTTTCTTAACTTGTTCTTTTTGGGTTTAGGAAATGGCCAACTCAAACTCAAATTCTAACTCCTCTTTTGGAAAATATCCAACTTATTCTCCACTTTCTGATGCTCCGAAATCTTCAAATAATTATGCTGCCGAAAGTACAAATAAAAGAAAAGCGCCTCAATCACAAGTAAACTCTAATGTACCTGAGGGGAGCAGTGGTAAAAGGAAATGTGTTCCTGACCAACAAGAGGAAGAAGTCTGCAGACCCAAGGACATAAATTTAATAGAAAAGATAGCAGAAAAGCATGCTGATGAATACAAGCATCAAAAGTGCCTATTTTCAAAATTGAATTATTATGCTAAACAAATTGTCAATGAGCAAGACGCACTCTTTTTCTCAAATATTGCAATCCAGTACAGAGAGGAACTGGCAAGGAGGGGACACATATTTAGTGAAGCATTTTTTAAACAATGTCTCTGTAGATGCTGGAAAGGTGTTAAAGAGAGTTTGAGAGAACCAATGATAAAATATATCATGAACGAATGAGTTTTTGTTCACATTTGTATTTCTTTTCATTTAATGTTTACTCTTGAGACTTCATTTTTGGAATTATCCAATTCTTTTGTAAACATTCATGCTTCAATAAATAAAGTTTTTTTTTATTTTTCAAATGCTTTATTTGAGTGGGAGTTTCATGAGGAAAACTCCAAATTGGGGATATGTTCAAGGAAAGTCAAAGGTAAGAAAGGTAAGAGACTAACCAGGAGTAATGGGATGGGAGCCAACCTAGTTGTCTCCTGATCATGAAAATGGTGAGACTCTTACCCAGGCGACCTATGACCTACTTGAACAAAAGTGTGTATATTGCATACCATACTAAAATGCATTGTTGTCTATGTGATAGCACGATGTCTCAAAGAGGAATCAAGTCCATTATAGCTGACCTCGTAGGAGGTGACAAGCTGAACGGAGACAATTACAGCATGTGGCGTCGTAAGATATCGTATGTCCTCGAAGAACAAGAAGTCACTGATGTGTTGACTACTTTTCTTCCAGAGCCTGAGGCAAATGCATCGCGAAGGGACCAGGACGGCTACGCGGCCTGGAAAAGAAGGGACACTATCGCCAGAATAACCATGCTAAGTGCCATGACTGACGATGTGTTGGTGCAATTCGAAACACACCCTTCAGCCTCTGCCATGTGGGCAGCACTGAAATCCGAATTTGACGGTACCTCTGCTGCGAGGCTTAGGAGACTCACCGTCAAACTTGATAATTTCAAGCTGGGTCCTAACACTCCCATAAGGCATCACCTAAGGGCAATGCAGAACTTAATCAGGGAGCTTAAGGAAGCCGGAGGCGCTCTATCTGATGAGCAACAGATTCAAGCTGTCATGAGATCTCTCCCAGCAAGTTGGGATACCATGAAGCACACAATTACTCATAATGAGAGTATAAAAACCTTTGCTGATGTAGCTCGCCACCTCCAACTGGAGGATGATCGGATGGAAACTGTGAAGCCTGTCAGTAAGGCATATTTAACTGAAGGAAAGGGAGGGGCAACCTCCCAAAACCAGTCCAAGAGAAGCAAAGGCTCTCAAAATAAGAAAGGCGGCCCTAAAGTGAAGAAAGGAAAGAGTTCCTTCAAGAAAGGCAAGAAACCTGCAAAGAAGCGGAACATAGCAACCATCAAATGCTATGCTTGCCAACAAAAGGGGCATTATGCCAAGGACTGCCCTGAGCAGAAAAAGGTATTGGATTCAGATTCAATACATTTCTCTTATGTTTCTAGCACTGCGTTTATTGCTGAAACTAATCCTGTTTGGGTTATAGACTCAGGGGCCACAGACCACGTGAGCAAGGATCGTGGGAACTTCACAGAATTTCGTCGGTTACCAGCAAGAAGCAGATGGCTTTATGTTGGGAACAACGCGAGAGTAGAAGTCAAAGGGATCGGTACTTGTGAGCTGACCCTGCATGGAGGAAAGACCCTAGTCCTGCAAAATGTCCTCTACGCTCCGGAAATCCGACGAAATCTTGTGTCTGTTATTTCCTTAGTTAGATTTCATTTCAATGTCTTTTTTCATGATTTCACAGTAGACATTTCGTATGGGACCAATTTTTCAGTTTCTGGTTATGTTTCGGATGGTTTCTTTGTTTTAGAAAATTTCAATGATAAT